GGCTACTTCTAGCTCTGAGTCTATACATTTTTGCCAAATTACCTTTTGCTAAAGAGCTTCAACCGCCTTCCTTCTCCCTGCCCTGAGGACATCCATGCCTCCTGGTTTCCGTCTCTTCAGAATTTCTCCACCCCATTTTCATTTGGCCAACTTCTCTTTCTTGGCCCTAGTCGTTATTTTGTACCTTGGCTTGCACTGAAGCGAGTGAACTAGATTTCTTCTCCATTTCTTGGAGAAGTTTTCAGTGGGCAGACCCAGCCACTTGGTGGAGCTGTGGGAAGATGTTTTCCCTTATAAAGGTACCTGATGCTTCCCCTGGAGAACTTCAGGTTTAAAGATGGGGATGCTGGAAATGGTGCTTCTGGGGAAAAGAGGTGTTTTTCTTACCTGTGTGCATGTTTCCAGCATCTGTCCACATCCAGTTCATTTGGGCAGTCAGGGTTTTGAGTTCAGATGTTTCAAGAGTCCCGAGTCGGGCATCTGTATGGGAGAGGCCAGGGACAGATAGATCCTAGATCTGGCGAGGTGCTCAATCCAAATTCTTGGAAGTTTCCCAGTTGTCCCTGGTTCTGTCATAGAGGAAATCAGTCTCCCGCCTCACCATGCAAAACATGCAATTTCTTTTTGGAGCCATTAGATATACAATCAAATAGACTTTATCTCTCAAGGAGCTTTTTGTGACTTTTATATAACAACTGTTGGTGAGATGTGATTTCTTCCCCCTTTCTTGGAGAAGTTTTTGTTGCTTAGATATTAGCTACTGTGTAGCCAAATTACCTGAGTTTGTAAGTTGTGAGACCACAGGGTAGTCTCTTGATCTCTTAGCATATCCCATGAAAAATGGGGGAAATAAAAATATCTAATCCTAAGTAAAGTACCATTTTGAGAATTAAAAAAGACCACTTGTGGGAAAGTGTTTTGTAAACTGTAAAGCATCATGCTGATGGGAGGTATTAGAAACTCCTTGAGGGCAGAGGACTAGTAATAAATGTATTACTCTTTGTCTGCAGAATGACTGCACCATCATAGATGCTCAATTAACATCTGTTGAATGAATGAGTGAACAGGTGAATTAAGACCATCATGAAGGGGTTGGCAGACTGGAAATGTGCCTATTAAATTAAGGGTTTCAAAGGATGAGACTGGGAGGAGCAGGAGAAGCAGGCCCTTGAGAGGAATCTAGGGCACGTGGCTTGTCTGCCAGGAAGGCAGCTAATGCATCACTTGCCAGTTAGCCAGCTGCTGGGCAGGCTGGCTCCACTGGGCAAGCTGCCAGGCCCCAGGCCATCTAAGGCTTGTGTGAGTGTCCCAGAGCAGGTAGGCCGGGAGCTTCTGTCCTCACGGGCGGGCTGGTGACCCGCCTGGAATGCCTTCCCTCTCGTGCCTGCTTTTAGAACCTTAGTCCCTGGTGACAGTAAACAGAACGGACGTAGGGCCTGACACTGAGCCACCCTGGGTCTTGGCAGGGTGGGTCTGATAGACCTGTTTCCCAGACTTAAAAGAATACACAGAAACACAGCACAGATAAATGTAGGCAGTTATATAGGAAATATTGGTCCCATGGCTATTTTTTCCTGACCTAGTTTTTTTATTTGTTTGTTTAAGACATAATTACTTGAGAAATGGTAATTGTTTTACATGCTTGCTATAGACCTGATAGAATAAATCTAATAATAATATTATTTAAACAACAATAATAGCAGCTACTATTTTGTCTGTGTTTACCACATGCCTATGTAGTACTATGTTAAACACTTCGTAGACATTTTCGTAGTTCTACAAGGTAAGCATTAACTCTGTAGGATTGTATCCTGTCAATCCTACGAACTAAGTATTATGACTCTACCTATTTTACGTATGGAGGGATTGAGGTTCAGTTACTTCCTGGGGTCACAGAGCTGAATGGTGGAAGAGCTGCTAGAACTCAAACCATTCATCCACCCATTCATTCATTACATAATGATTGAGCACCTACTAGATAGCAGGTACTAGGGATTCATGTGTGAATAATACCAATGAAAACTCCTGCTATGTGGGGACAAACACAACAAATAAGGAAATGTTATAATGTATTACATGGTGGTAAATGCAATGGTGAAGAATAAAGCATCCAGGGAAGGAAAGCAGTGCCAGTAGCGGAATGGGAGGTGGAGAAGGTGGCCTGCAAAGGTAGACAGGATGGTCAGGAAAGGCCCCATGGAGAGGGTGACATCTGAGCAGAGTCAAAGGTACTGGGTTGCTGAACTGTGTGGATCGGAAAGTAGAATTTTGGTTTGTATGAACTTTGTCCAATGTGGCAAACAGGCAAATTGGAGTCCAAGGAAGATTTCTGTGAATTCACTTTTTTTCTTAAGTTCATTCTCACTTTCTTTTCTGGGTTATGCATTTCCCGAATAGGAAATTGAATGGCAAACTAGGGAGAAAGTAAAGGTATCAAATCAATTCATCCATCCATCCATCCATCCATCTACCCACCCACCCATCCATCCATAAATCTGTTCAACATTTCTAAGGCACCCACTACAAGCCAGATCTATGCTTCTGTTAGAAGAGTAAGATCTAGATCTATACTATTGGATATATAAAATATATATAAAATAAACATATATGTATAAAATAAAGATAAAAAACATTATATATAATTTTATATAATTTTATATAATCAACTGTAAATATATTTTACACTGCTTCAGATTTTTTCAATTTAAATTTTCAAATGAAAGTTTTATGGAATACAACTATTGTTTTGCTAGAGTTGCATTTCAGTTTAATCATTGAAAATTTATCTCTGAATTGAGAATTACTCTAAGTATGAAATGCATAATGAATTTTGAAGATTGAGTGCAGAAAAAGGTAAAATATTTTATCAGTGAGTTGTTTATATTAATTACATATTGAAATGATACTATTCCAAATATTTTATTATTGCTATTTATTTTATAGTAATATAGTAATATATTTATTATTACTATTCCAAATATTATTAAAGTTAATTTCTCTTGCTTTTGACTGGTTTTTAACATGGCTGCCAGAAAAGCTAAAATTATTTATGTGGCTTGCATTATATTTGTATTGGATAGCGCCGTTCTAGACCTTGCCATTCCAGAGCTTCCAGGCAACTGCAGGGAGCTGGGCACACAATTGAGTAATTGTAATACCATGTGGTAAGTGCTATAATAGACCCAGGAACCGAGTGCTCTGGGGACACAGAACTGAGCCTTCAGTTCTGCCCAGCCCAGGATCAGGGGAGAGGTGACGTCCTCAGTCAGGTCTCTGAGATGGTAGAAGTTTGTCATCTGGAGGCCAGGAAATGAGGTGTCCCAGGAATTGGGTATAGTGTGTGCGAAGGCCAAGAGACATGAAACCCTGAGAATCACGAAGGGAAAGGAATGTGTGCATTATTCAGCAAGAGAAAGGACCCCAACCTGCCCAGAACCCTATTTAACCTCAGTGAAACCCTAAGCCTCTTCCATTGTAGCCAATTAGAGTTTTTCTGCCACCTGACCCCAGCACGTTCCTGCACGTTCCTGACATTTTTACTCTCGCGACTTTCTGGCAGCCACTCTTTCCAGGGTGGCAGGGTGTTGTTTCTGCTCTGGAGTCCTGCCAGTGCCTTCTCTGTTGATGGGGATTTATCACCGTTCAGTTTCTTTTTTTGATAACAGAAACTTCCAGCAAATCCCTGCTGTTTTATTCCCCAGGAAGAAGCTATCTTATTTTTCAGTACAGGGTTTAGAACAGAGAAAACAAGGCAAATGGGACTGCTGCCAGCTGTCCACGTGCTCCATCCTATTCACAAGTGCAGGAGGAAGGGAAGAAGGAATGTGCAAGGAACGTAAGCCTGACATCTCCAAAAGGAATCAAGAATGTCAGTGTGGGAGAGTGTCATCGGTCATCTCCTGCTCCATTGGTTACCCACTGAGGTGGCTCCCCAAACTGACACTCTTCCCAACAGGCTCAACGGGCCCTCTCAACCATCAAATGCATGAGATAAATTAAAACTAAAACTCCTTCTGGGCTATTTCTGTTGACCCTTGTAAATATCCACTGATTCTATTTATACTTCTGTTTCCTGATATCACTCGTCAACCCCCATGGAAAGGCCTTCTCTTATATCCTTTTACACACAGAATGGAATATCAGTGGGCAAGTTGCAAAAAAACAAAACAAAACAAAACAAACAAACAAAACAGCCTACATTTATTGGGTGCGGCTACTTGTATCTTGTTGATCTTGTGCTTTCTTTAATTTTTTTTAAATTAACTCATCCAATCCTTAACAACAACAACAACAAAACCCTTTTGAGACAGGTATTACTAATGCCCCCATCTTAAAGCTGAGAAAACTGAGAAACAAAGAGGAAGTTGACCAAGATAACACAGCTAGAAAGTGGGAGAGTCAGCATTTGTACTCCGGTTTTTCTGATTCTGGAGTCTCTGCCCTTAGTCATCATTCTTACTGTTTTTCTAGCCATTTGGCAGGGGGAAGAAACATAGCTTTCTGTTGGATTTGTAAGCTTTAGTTTTATTGTAGTTATCTAGTCCACATTCAAGTAGCCTGACTTCTCCCAAGAAGTCTGATGGCTGGAAGTCAGTTGAATGCTATCAACTGTACTTAATACTCGTAGACTGCAAGCCACATGAAGATGAGATCAGACCTGTCTTGTCCCAGCACATTCTCAGACCCAGGTGCCTGGCATGTACGGGAAAATACTGTAGAATGAATAAATTTGTTTCTTCCTGTTTTATGACTTTGAATACTCCTCTTTTTTAATCTCTGACACAAACAATGCAGGAAAAATAAAAGAAAAACTCAAGACCCCAAATAATCTGCTATCTCCTTGAATAAACAGAGAGAAAATAAAAAAGGCATTTTGGGTTCCAACTATTCAGGTACTTGTTATAATCTTACATTTTGCTTTTTCTGTGTAAATACAGATTTGGTGTAAACTGTATATTAGTTAGGGTAGTACTAGCTGTCATGACATATAAACCATCAAATTGCAGGGGCTTAACACAATCAGTTAAGTTTATTATTCACTGATGCAGCAGTCCAATGTCCTGGTCAGACAGTGACTTTATTTCTCAAGGTGAAGTAGGGGCCCAGGTTTCTTTTATCTTGTGGCTTCACCATTCACTTAGGGCCTCCAAGTCCTCTGCTTCCAGCTAGGCAATGTGGAGAAGGCACACCCACTTTTTAAACACCCTGGATTGGAAGAAAAAAACATCACTTTTGCTTCTGTTCCATTAGAGAGACCTTGTCTCACGGCCGCACTTGGATGTATGGAGACTGGGCAACGTGTCCCTGGCTGAGCAGCCGTCTGTCAGCTCTATGGATGAAGAAGCATGAATTTTTGGTTGCAATTATCTTCCTTCCTCTACAGTGAAGACTAAGCGCTTATTGAGCTTGCTGTTTAATGTAAATTGTCCACCAGACCACATATTTTAAGTTAGAAACGTCACAGTCTTAGGTAACTTTTCAAAACTTCATCTAGCAAAGTGGAAGAACAGTTATCAACCAAAGCACAGGCATTAATTGACATGAGCTCGGGATAGAGCTTGGAGCAAAGCCTTAGAGTCAGAAGCTCTAAATCCCAAATGCAGTTACTATTTGATCACAGGCAAATTAGCCTCTTTGAGACTCCGATTTCCCAGTAGTGAAATGGGCAATGTAACAGCCACCTTGCAGATGATTAGCAGAGCGATATGTATATGTAGGGGTCCTAGCAGGCAGGAGGTAGCAAATAAACAATGACTGCTATTACGATGTTTTCTGAACAAATGTTTCTTTTTTTCTTTTTATTTTTAATTGACACATCATGGTACATATTTACAGGGCACAGTGTGATATTTTGATACATGCATACGACATGTAATGATCAAATCAGTGTTATTCGCATAGCAAACATATTTCATTTTGTTGTGTTGGGAACATTCAAAATCTGCTCTTCTATCTGAATATATATAATAAATTATTAATTTATACAATATTCTACTGTATGTTTTTAAATATACAATATAAATTATTAATTTATTGTATCCTTCCATCCTCCCAATTATTAATTATAGTCACCCTGCAGTGCTATCAAACATGAGCACTTATTTGTCTTACCTAGCTGTAATTTTGTACTTGTTAACCAACCTCTGGCTATCCCCATCCCCTCCCCCAACCTCTAGTAACCACAGTTCTACTCTCTATTTCAACGAGATTAACTTTTTCAGCTTCCACATATGAGTGAGAACATGTGGTATTTGTCTTGCTGGGCCTGGCTTATTTCTCTCAACACAATGCTCCTCCAAACTCATCTATGCTGCCTGAATGACAGGATTCCTGAATGATTTCTTGAGAAAGCGAACATACCTTCTTTCTTTTAAATTGCTTTGAAAATAGAAAGTGCAGTGAAGGCCCAGTAATGAGCTTTATGTAAATAAAAGATGTAGGAGAATGTGGATGTCACACTTTCAAATGCCACCGTTACTACATCTGTCCTGTATCCAGAACAAAACCAGAAATCAGAGTCTAACCAAGCAGTATGATTAAACTGCTTAAAATTGTCCCAGGCCAGGCACGGTAGCTCATGCCTGTAATCTCAGCACTTTGGGAGGCCTAGGCGGGTGGGTCACCTGTGGTCAGGAGTTTGAGACCAGCCTGACCGACATGGTGAAACCTCGTCTCTACTAAAAATACAAAAAAATTAGCTGGGCGTGGTGGCACATGCCTGTAATTCCAGCTACTTGGGAGGCTGAGGCAGGGGAATCGCTTCAACCAGGGAGGCGGAGGTTGCAGGGAACCAAGATCGTGCCATGCACTCCAGCCTGCGTGACAAGAGTGAAATTCCATCTCAAAAAAAAAAAAAAAAAAAAAAAAGACAAATTCTAGTAGGATCCATGGAAGATGAAAAGCATCATATTAATATCCACGATTTATTGAGTGTATATATTCTAGCCCTTAATCTTCATACCAACCCTGTGGGATGTATTACTGGTATAACTGCTAATACCACACACATTGTTACCATCACCACTTTGCAGATTAGAGAACTGAGGCATAGAGGGGGAAAGCAATTATCCAAGATGATCATAAGTGGTGGAACAGGGATTTGAACCCAGTCACTCTACCTCTAGATCTCAAGCTCTTCATCAAGGAGCCTGGGCTCTTGTTGGAGAAAATCCTTTAGCGATGTGAAAACATTCACACACAGTGCCTGATGGCATTGTGCTGAAGTGTGGTTCCAATTATAAATGTGGTAGGAATTCAGTCTGGAGAGGAACTCCCAGTGCCTGGGCATGACTGTGTGCTACGCATTGTACCGGGTGTTTTTCATCCTTCCCATTTAAGGAGATGGAGCATGGCATATATGGAAGGAGAAGAGGGGGAGCTTTGGAACTGGACAGGTAGGGTTTAAATCCTGGTGCTGCCATTTACAAACTGTGTAACCTCTGGGAAATTACTTAACCATTCTGATACGGTTTCTTCAATTGAAAATAGGGATTGTAAACAGCTACTTTACAGAGGAGGGTTCACTGTCATAAAACAGTACCAGCCTATGGTAGAGCAGATGCTGTTGATTCAATAGATACTGATGAAGTCCCACATATCTGGGAGTAACACTATCAGCCAGAATAAGCCAGGTTATGCTGCTTTAACAAATCCCACTGGCTTAACATAAATAAAGTTTAATATTTGCTGACGCTACTTTTCCAAAGCAGATTGGCTGGGATTTTCTGCCATCTTTACACAGAGACTCAGCTGGCTTGGGGAGGCTCCAACTTTGTACCACCATGATTGTCAAGACAGGAAAAAGAAGACATGGGGATTTGGTCACTAGCTCCTAAAGTTTCCATGTGAAAGCAACACAATCACTTCTGCTCTCATTCCATTGGCCTAAGCAAGTCCTATGGTCACATCTAACTTCAAGAGAATGGGGTAGTGGATTTCTACCACATCCCAGGGGAGAGGAAAAAGTAGAAAACATTTTAAAATACTACTGCAGACACAATGTGTTTCTCTCTACAATAGATCTGCTAATCCGTATCTTAAGAGGAAACCCAAGCTCTGAGAGGTTAAGTCATTTGACCAAGGTCACACAGCCAATCCTCTGTGAAAACAGGACTCAACACATGCCACTCACCCTGACTGTAGGATCTATAGGGACAACATCCACAAACTTTGTATAGAAAGCAGAACAGTTTCAGGATGGGGGGCAGGGAGGCCCTGCAGAAAAGGAATTGAATAGGCATGATGGTGGACAGAATAGGAATTGAATAGGCATGATGGTGGACAGAATAGGAATTGAATAGGCATGATGGTGGACAGAATAGGAATTGAATAGGCATGATGGTGGACAGAATAGGAACTGAATAGGCATGATGCACCTTTGTGTTTGTGTTCTGTGATTGATCCTGGGAAAGGGAAGAAGGGGCAGGGGGGTTTGTGTCAAACTTCAGTAGAAGAAAAGTTTGGACAGGTAAGAATATCACGCGTCAGAGTACAGCAGAGACACATGTGTGGAGGATGAGGGCAGTGTTTCAGGCCATTACTCTGGCAGCAGTGAGGAGGCTCCCGGGGAGGGCGGGCTGTTGCAGGAGTCCGGGGTAAGGTGAGGAGGGGCAGACAGGAATGAAGGCGGCGGGAATGCAGAGGAAGGGCTGGACCTGAGAGCTGCAGAGGAGGCTCCAGTGAGGTCCACTGGTGGAAAAGAATCGCCATGCGATTTGCAGAACACCAGATATTCTTCAGCCTTCACTCTTCCCACCCCAGTCTGGTATATTGCACCATTTGTTTAAAAAAAAAAAAAATTCCCCAAGACCTTTTTCTCTAGCTTTCTTCCTTATTTTTCATGGTCTCTTCTTAGAAGGGGGGCAGTCACACCGCGGTGGGAGGCCCTTCCTGCCTGACCCTTACCGTGCGGGGTACCGTTCCTGTCACCATCGCCAGGATCAGGCTGGCCCTTACAGTGAAAGGAAATCTTCCAAGGCCTAAGGAGGCAAGAGGCCTTCAAGTCGCCTCCTGCTCAGCAAAGGGGTTGCTCAGCAGGCCGGGGTTCCTGGTCCACCCCAGGTCCCTGGTTTGCCCACCTCCGATGGCGGCCTTCGCTGGCAGTGTGGGCGCCTCTGGGGAGCCAGCTCCATCTCAGCGCCTTTAGAACCTCATCTCTTCCACGTCCCCGGCCTTCCTCCCCTTCCAGGCTGCTGTCCCTGCCGGGGTCCAGATAGTGTCCGAGGGCCGGCGGTTCGACGGCGGGCCCGGGGTTCAGCCTCCCGGCCTCCCTCGTCCCCGACTCTCCTTTCTTCCGAGAGGGCGCGGGGTCCGGGGCCAAAGCGCCGCTCTTGGGATTCTCCTGGACTCGGAGGTGCCCCAGGCGGGCGCAGCTCTGCCCCGCGGGGTGCCAGCCTCGGCGGGCAAGGTCCGTGAGTCACCGCCTGTAACCCAACACCAGGCCTCCCTGCCCCCTCCCCCAGCTCCGGCCGCCAGGCCGCGGCGACACCTACAAGAAAATGAAGGGGCGCCTGGGCCCGCGGCGCCCCCGGCCGGATGGCGAGCAGGTCCCGGCGGCCCCCGGCTCGCGGCGCTCTAGCTTCCCTGGCCCCGGGGCTCGGTCAGCCGCAACCGCCGTCCCGGCGCGAGCAGGAATCCAGGCCGAGCGGCCGGAGCCGGAGCCCCGAGGCGGCGGAGGGCCCGCGATAGCTGCGACTGGCGAGCCCTTGAGCGCCCGGGGAGGGGCGCCCAGCTTGGAATTTCCCGGTCCCCTCCGGCCCAGCGAGGACCAAGCCCCCCTGGCCGCCGCCGCCGCCGCCGTGGCCTACGCCGCGCCGCACAAAGAGCGAGTCGCGACACGCTCCCATCCCCCTCCCAGCTCACGGCGGCCCCGGCCCGGGGTGGCTGCAGGGAGGTGGGGGAAGCCCTAGCTGCACCGCCCCTCGCTCCTCCTCCCCCGGGGCAGCGCGAGCGCCGTCCCTGCCCCCGCCCCCGCCCCGTCTGCGCGTCCTCCAGGGGAGGGGTTGGGGGGCGCGGCGCCCCACATAACACTCCCCCTCCTGCGCTCCGAGCCACCCTCTCCCCTCCTTCCTGCAAACACCACCGCCTCCCCTGCCACCGCCGCCACCTCGCCCGAAGCTCCACAGTTCGCCGCGGCCGGGGGGCGGTGCGCGGACCGTGCGCGCCGCGGGCGCCAGATGTGCAGTCCCCGCCGCCGCCAGTGACCGAGCCGCAGCCCGAGCGGGATCGGGCCGCCTCCCTGATGCTGCGGGGGCGACCTTGAGCGTACCGCGGCTTCCCTTAGTGGGGACCACGACAACCCAGCGCTGTGCCCGGTGTTGCCCTCTGCAGCCCGGCTCGCCCCGCGCTTGGACATGGAAGGGGCCGCCGCGCCCGTGGCGGGGGACCGCCCCGACTTGGGGCTGGGGGCGCCGGGCTCTCCTCGAGAGGCGGTGGCGGGGGCAACTGCTGCCCCCGCGGCGGCGGCCGCCCCGGAGCCCAGGAAGCCTCACGGGGTGAAGCGGCATCACCACAAGCACAACTTGAAGCACCGCTACGAGCTGCAGGAGACCCTGGGCAAAGGCACCTACGGCAAAGTCAAGAGGGCCACCGAGAGGTTTTCGGGCCGAGTGGTGAGTGGGTCAATCCTGGAGGGTGCGGGGGAAGCTGGCTGGACGGGCTGGGGACCGATGGCGTGGGAGGCGGGGATCTGTGCGCCCTAGGGCTCTCTTGACAGAGAGGGGGCTCATTGGGAAGCCCCGAGACAGACTCCTCACTCTTTCCCTAGCACCCCGTGACTCAGGCGTGTCTCTGTCCTGAAACACTTGTTACATCCTGTCTGCACATATTTTATTTTATTTTTTGGTTTGTTTTAAAAAATTTAATCCCAGCAGCAAAGGAATGTTTTAGATTTGCAAACATTTTGCAGCGTTGGGACGGCCGGGGTCTCCCTCGCAGGCACACATTCAGACCATGCCCCGAAATGCCTTATTTCCACAACTCTCCAAATAACCACATTCCCAGCTAGGAGCTAGCCCCTCAAGTCCCGTGTTTTTAGCCCCTCAAGTCCCGTGTTTTGTAGGTGTCCCTACCCCCTTGCACCCATCTGCCCGCAGCCCCTTGCTCTGCATCCTCCCACTCAGACTCTGCATTGCCCTGATGATGCTGTGGCTGCAAGGGAGGGCGACTCCTGCCTGTTTTTGAGACAAGGTTAGGGAGCAAAAATAAAGACTACTGCAAGTCTGAGGATTCTAACAGTTTGCATTGTGGCTTTGGGAGGAGTGAAATGTCCAAGGCATGTGTAGCTACACAGATAGCTGTGCTTAGTTGCAGCCGGCTCAATTGCGTTTCAGCTCCTGGTTGCAGGGCTACCAAACTGCTGAAGGGGTCTGGCCCCGCTGCTCTTGTGACAGCTGACACCCTGCCAGGGTCCTGGCACCATTTGCACAGCTACAAGAAGTGCTTTGAGTGCCTTGGGGTCTGTCTGCCTTGTCCCAGCCTTGGTTTGTTGTTATTTTCACTTCTGCAGAACAGGCCCTTGAAATCCACACTGCTTGTGGCTAGAGAGTTGGGTTCAAAGTGACTGACTGTTGCAGAAAGATTTTGTGTGGTGTGTGGCAGAAAATTAACATGGTTCTTTGATTTGAAACAGATCAGATGTATTTTAATCGATTTAGGGCCAAAGTCAGAAACTAGTTATGGGGCTTCTTGTGTGCACTTTTGGGAGTGTTTTGGGGGCTCAGGGTTGCTTATAAACAACAAATGACTGCAGGAAAAAAGGAAAATGAGCTGTCAAATAGCAGCTTAATATTGACATGTTTCTTTTGCATTTGGGCAGGGACAGTTCTGTGAAAAAAATGGGGGTGCCAAGTCAGCAAAGTTCAGTCCCCAAATTCTCAAATATCTGGATATCTGGATAATGTCCTCCCAACCCATTTCTCAGATTCGGTGTTTGAGTCTATATAACTTCATCCCATAACGTTATTTTAAAAAAAAATCTGTTAGCAATTAATTGGAAATTTGAGATGTACATTTCTTTTTAAAGCTAGCTCTGTAATAAATTCTACAGCAAGCAAGTAGTTGAGAATTCACTCTGGGCAGGTGCCATTTTTGTAGGATGAAATTGTTACAGGGGCGGGTTGTAGGGGTGGCCTCTGATGAAGGCATTTTCAGGTTTGTGGAAGAAGAGGCTGGGACATGTGCGCTTCATTCATGCTTTTCTTCTGAGGTGATATTCCCCAGGCTGGATGTTGAATAAGCAAAAACTAAGCTTAGCTCCCTGCTCATGTTGTCTTAATAGCTGCTGAAGAATCGCACTGGGAAGGTGGGAAGCAGAATAATGAAAAACAGACGCAGTTCGAGTTGCAGGTTGAGAATGTGAGACTATGAGGGGTTGTTGAAGTGGTAAGGGTGTGCCTGGGGTCTGTGAAGGGACCCCAAAGTCTAAATGCTGGGGCACTGCCTCAGACCCTTCTAAAGAACGAACCCTTGTCTTATGGCAGATGCCTTTCTGAGCGTCAGTGGGACTTCCTGTCAGGCGTTCTTCGAACTGCCTGATCCACAGACTAGGTTAGAGTGAAAGGCATTTGCATCAGTAGGCAGCAGTCCGCCTTTCTCTTTGGGGGATGTCTTTCTCTTATTTGCAGAAACTGAACATTCCGTCAGGATTTAGTCAAGAGGCCGCGAGGGGGCGCCCTGAGAACGAGAGAGGCTTCTTTACCAGCCACAGGTCTGAAGTCCCGCTGTGTTATTGTTCAGCCCTAGTTCAGTTTCCCATTGTGCTATTAATTTCAGCTAAATCACTAGTTTTACCCCAAAATTATATAAAGATTTTAAATCTGGCATCAGACCCACGCCCAGAAACTGGCAGTCTCTAAAATGCTTCATTTATTCACGGGGCTGCTTTCTCCTTGATAGCTAAGCTTATAGAATGTTAGCCAGATCCCTGGGTGAAAACCTTGCATAAAACAGATGGGAAAACTGAGGTTTGGGGAAGGGAAGTCCTCCTTGGCCCCCCTGTCCTCCCCCTGCCGAGCACACTGCTCACGGATGGTGTTAAGAACTTAAGTGAGAAACAGGAATTGTCAAGTGGAGAATTTCCTGTGACTGGCTGAACAGAAAATAACACCAAACACACAAGAAATTGGTCAACGAGTTGTTCTTGCCCATACAGTGCCTGGTGACTCAGAACCTGTTAAGAGCAGCAAGAAATTTTCATCTAAAATATGAACTTGGAGTTTTCTTCTGGTACCGATGATGTGCTAAACATTCATAACTTGCTTTGAAGGTGCAGTTGAGGAGAACTGAAAGGGCGCTATCTTAATTTAGCCTTATGATCTTTGGGTAGAATTTTGAAGTGATGCTTTATTTTCATTTGCACCAGTGCCTTTTACAGCGTCTCTCAAGAGGAGCAGTGGTTCTAACGTATTTTACTAATGTGAGTGGCCCAAGACAGGTGCCGGGTACGGGGCTCTATGAAATGCTGTGAAATCAACATCCCTGTTGAAAGCAGGGGCTCTTTTCAGAGAGGAGAGAAGTTTCAAAAAAATGAGGATGTGGTGGTTTTTAATTGCATACCTGGAAGGACCTTCCGAATAAAACACAACACAACACAGCATCATTTTCTATGTGCCGCTAAAGGCAGTTCTGAAGAAAAGTGCAGAATGAGATGCTTGGAGTCAGCTGGTGCGACCGTGTGCGCCATCCAGGCATCCTCCTGCAGTCTTGCGGCCTCTGCTAAAGCATGTCCGTGAGACCAGGACTCAGAGTGGCTTGTTCCAGAGATGAACAAGCTCAAAAATGAGGCACTCTTGCAGAAAGGCTAAGAGCCCTGGCTTACATTCAAATCCTTGATCTATCCCCTACTAGCTTTGTGTCTTTTGGCAAGCTATGCGACTTTTTGAAACCTCAGCTTCTTCATCGGTAAAACGAGCTACTAAGAGTACCAACTTCATGGACTTGTGAGAACTGAATATAGTGATCTATATAAAACCTCAAAAGGGGACATTAATCAATTTAGTTCCTCCTTTGAGCAGATTTTTTTTTCTCATCTCATTTTAGGATTTCATTAGCTTTTAAGACCATGAGAGAGACACAATGCATTGTATCATGCAGAGAGAGATAGAAGAAATAATCAACTTTTCAGAGTAATAAAATAAATATCAAATTAATTAGGGAGGTGTGTCCATAGGAAGGTGAGATAATTAGCCAGATTCAGATAGGATCTGAATGCATTTCTCAAGTCTTGAATTTGGGCCTTGTTTATTGCACAACTTTTGTTTTGATACAGTTTTGGGCAGGCCTGTCGGGTGAGCCTCTGTGTCATAATTCAGCATGCATTTTCTTTGAGCTAAGCTCCCTGGACCTGCGGGCCACACAAAGCATTGCAAAAAAAAAAAAAAACAAAAAAAAAACAAAAAAAACAAAACCACACAATTTTATGTCCTGTGATCACCTCTGTATCAAGGGGCCAAGTTCGACTTCCTCCCTGTACCAGGTTGTCTCTAGTGAGCAGTAGGTGGTATGGTGTGAGCTGGAGGCAGGGTCCCTGGCAGGGAGTATGGGATGGGAGTGGCAGGACTGGTGGTCAGTGTGTGCCCCTCCCCCACAGTCTGCCCTGCTGCCCCCGGCCACTAGAGCATTAGCTTGGGTGATGGGGCATCCTCACCTAGCAAGCCAAGTGTTTTGACCAAAAATGGGTGTTTTAAGCACTGGCCCAAAGCTATTCATAGCCCCCTGCTGGAAAACTGCAAATCAGGGAGGTAAATTAGCAAGCTGGCCTGCCAAGCCAGAGGGTGTGTTGACGTCACATGCATGGTGGCAGAAGTGCCATGTTGCAGCTAAGGCCCAAATCCAGTTTTAGAATGTAAGGGACCATGGCAAACATGTGGTTCAAACTTCTCATCTTCGAGGCGGGACCAATAAGGAGCAGAAGTGTTAAGTGACTTTGTCGAGGTTGCACAGCTGTTGAATGACTGAGCTTGATCCTAGAAACCTGATTCTTGGTTTGGTATTTTTCCATCACTCATTTAATAAATCTTTACTGGAGAAAGATATGGGCCTCACTCTTAAAGAACTTATAATCTAGTAGCAAAGATGAAATGTACTTACAAACATTGAACTAATTCTGTTCAGTTCAACGAAGATTTATTACCATCTGCCATATGCTACTCACCATGTTAAACGCTGAGACATAGAAATGAGTAAGACCCAGGGAGCTTCCAGCCTGGTGAAAGAGAAGGCGGAAGTAGTTACTAGGCATGAGTAACTCTTCCATAGAGGATTCGATTGTTTCAGGTGATTTTCAAGTTGGATGACAGCTCATTGAAGCTTAGCTCATCAAACTGAGTTTGATCCTGGACAGAATCATATTTCTGCTGCTACCATTATTTACTACCAGTTGATATTTTGAGAGCTTGTGGTACCTCGCACTGTGCTAAGTGCTTTAGAGACATTTTCCCTCACTTAACCTTCACAGCAACCCTGTGAGGTGTAAAGTAGTGAGACCCATTTTACAGATGGGGAAAATGACACATAGGGAGGTGAGGTAACTTGCCAAGGGTCAGACAGCTGGATGGTGTCTGACCAGTTTCCAAACGAGTTTGTTTGGAAACCCGTTGCTGCTAGAGGAATT